GCACAAGTTGTCTTAGCTCCAAACCCACCCTCGTGTATTCTGCGTTGTGACACAGGGGCTGGGAGTCTGCACACCCCATTTCTGCTGGGCCTGTCAGCATGATGCTGGAGGCAGCAGGCCCCAGCTCCCTGCCGCCTGTCTGTGCCTGTGAGCGGCACGCAGCTGCCCTTCTTCGCCGAGCAGCAGCAGTTCCTTTTGTAGCGGCTGGTGAAGCCAGTTTGCAGTTTTCGCAGCACGTGGTTCACCATCGTGCCTCCTCAGAGACACAGGCCATGGCCAGTCAGTGCCCCAGCCACAGAGGTCTGAGCTGTAGTTCCGAAGGGGCCCTCCCTTTCATCTTCTAAGTTTTAACAATCCCCTCTTTTCCCTGGGTCCCCCCAGCCCTAGGGAAGTAGATGCTTCTGGCAGTCACTGTCTCTGATACCTTAGTTCAGGGTTCTCAAACTTTCACGTTCATCAGTCACCTGGAGGGACTGGTCACACGCAGGATGCTGGCCGCCGAGGGCTTCTGCTTCAGGAGGTCTAGGTGGGGCCTGAGAGTGTGCGCTACCGTGCTCCCACGGCGATGCTGCCGGGCCTGGGACCACACTTGGAGAACCACAGCTTAGTCTTCTCTTTTTAGCCTCCTCAGTTACCTAGTTAACAGTTCTTTACATTACATTCTCTCTATGCAGGTAGCCGCTGTGGTTTGTCTTGATTGATACATAACTGTGAGTGCTAAGGGCCTTAGGTTGTCTGGGCCAGTCCGTGTCCTTTATTTACATTCTGGAACGGAAACCCAAAGAGAAGGTCCCCAGCTGCCTTTCCCACCATGAACACTCCCATTATTGTAGCCCTGGGAAATGCTACTGCCCCCAGCCCCACTCCAGGCTGAAAGGAACATTGGCTGTGATGACAGCCAGGAGAACTGTCCCATCCCCCAAGCCCTGGGAGTTGAGCTCAGTGCCCCGGGTACTGCTTTCAAAAGGTGCTCTTTGGGGACAAGTGACCTCACTGGCCCTGCAGTGGGCCAGAGGCGGCTGTGCTGTCCAGCGTTTCGTCTGGTCATTCCTGTAGATCAGAAGCCCTGAGACATTGCTTTCAGGGTGCAGGGTATGGATGAGCAGTTCCATTGGCACCTGGTTTCACCCTCCGATAACTGAAGGGCTGGGTCTACACAGGCTCCAAGACCCCTTGTAGCCCGACATTGTGTTTAGGATGCATACTCCTTGTCACCCTTGCGTCTGGGTTTCAGTAGCCTGGAGTCCCTTTACTCTGTTACTCTGACCCTGAGCCCCGGAGGAATGGAGTGTTTAGAGACAGTAGGAGGTAAGACAAATCAAGGAATATTGAGGCTGGTTCTCTTTGTTCTTCTTACTGCTAAGCCAAGCCATGAAGAAAGGGCCTGGTTGAAGGCTCTTGAACCACCTCTTAGCTGCCTTTCTTCGTATCCTTTCCAGTGATCCTACCCCACATTGGAAGTGCCACTCACAGAACCCGAAACACCATGTCCTTGTTGGCAGCTAACAACTTGCTGGCTGGCCTGAGAGGGGAGCCGATGCCCAGTGAACTCAAGCTGTAGCCAGATAGGAGACACCGAGGGCCAGGAGGCAAACAGTGCCCCAGGAACTGTCGGACATGCCCAGGCTTGGTCTGGACCCTCAGGATGGAGCCAAGGAAAAGTCTGATCTGTACTGATTCTGCGGAGGGAAGACTGGTGCTGACAGATGTGCTTGCCGCTTTGTGGTCGGAAACTTCTGAGCCAGAAGTGTGTAATTCTATTAAATAATTCTCTGAGAGATTGTCTCGATTCGTAACTGAGAGAAGCTAATGACAAGAGCATCTGCTTACCTTTTCTAAATCAGGGACCCTAGCAGATTCTGCTTCCCACCCCAGTCCTCATCCCCCAGCATTTTAATTACAGAACTTGTCCAAACCACCTGATCCTTCATCCTCTGCTCAGATCCCGTCACGTGTCCATCACTGAGGATGGGACAACCATAGCCCACTTGTGACCATGGCACTTGAATCTGTTACCTAGGCCATTGGGGCAAATTAAATATACACAACAAAGAGAACTAAGTAAGGTCAAGAATAATTGGAGGTAGGTGGGTTTCTTCATTTTTATCTTAAAATGAGTATCAGCACCTTCACACATGGCTCCCTTTGTCCATCTGCTCCTCCATCCCCACTCGCGAGGTGGATGCCCTTTTTCTGGTCACCACCTCACTCACTCCTCCCCAAGGCCAGGCCACCAGCATTGCCAAAGCCCTGCTCCTGCCGGAGGAATCAGGTTCCAGCTCTTCCCCACCAGCCAAGCCAAGCTGGTGAGTGGAGTTTTCAACCTGGGAGGCAGGTAAGGGAGCAGCAGAAAGCACAAGATTAAGCAGGCCCTCTAAGAGTAAAACTGGGTAGACTGAGAACAAAACTTGACACTTGTCCACGGCTCCAAGACAGACAGAGCAGGCAAGGCAGAGGGACTAAATTGAGGGGAACAACCAGTAATTGTTATTAATTGACAGCACTAGGACATCTTCTAGGAGGCTTGGTTAAAAAAATACTGGTCTTGGGGCCGGCCCAGTGGCTTAGTGATTAAGTTTGTGTGCTCCGCTTTGGCAGCCTGGGGTCCACAGGTTTGGATCCCAGGTGTAGACCTACACTGCTCATCAGCCATGCTGTGGCGGCAACCCACATACAAAATAGAGGAAGACTGGCACAGAGGTTAGCTCAGGGCGAATCTTCCTCACAAAAAAAAAAAAAGGACTGGTCAAATCAGGGTTAGCAGAGAAAGCAATACTACTTCCTTTTTTTGTTTCAAACCTTAACAACCTAAGCAAAGAAAAAAACACGTTTAGATTGAGGTATGTATGTGACAAATTTTTTATTTCAAAATCTCAAATTTCGAGATGCTGATAGCACCACTGACATGGGTGCCTGATAGAACTTTATGATTTGATCACCAGAAATGATTATGCCAGGCTATAATTAAGGCTAACCAATCAAAATCCAGGTACTCAATAGCAGTTATAATTCAGGTAGAAACGATGGATCCTAGGAACCCTGGGACTGGTTTTCCAGGGAACCTCTGAATTACTTTTTAAGTGCTCCAGCATGTATGAGGACACTGGCCTGCAAGCTCGCTTCTCACATGTAGAAACTGATTGACTAAGAGGTAGATGAGAGATTCCAGATTCCATCTAGCAGTGGAGAGGCAGGGCTCCAGCCGCTGTGTCAGAGACAGGCCCCAGAACCAAGTCCATTCAAGCCCGAGCTGAGGTGAGGGGCAGCCCCCTGGCACCCTTCCTCCAGATGGAAGGGGAGGAGGGCTGCCACTGCTCTTCCTGGTGTCACTGGTTCCTCTCCCAGGCCCAGGCAGAGCCTCTCTTGTTCTCTGTGCTGACACACCTGCCTCCCAAGATTAACCTCACAACACACTGGTCACCACATCACGTAGACGGATGGGTGCAGAGCTTCCTCGCATCAAGTCAGAACACGACTGCTGACAATGAGCCACACATACAACTGGACTTCCCAGGTGATCCCATATCCTCCAACAGTCTCTTTCCCCGTCTGCTGGAAAGGAGCGACATCACAGAGGTTTCCCTTTGGCTTTCCTCCCTGGGAATCAGTTCACAGGAGATGCTAAGCCCAACTATGAACATTATGAGTTTATCCACAGACAGATGTGTAACTGCACACACTAGGTTAAGAGAAAACACACACTAATGTTTATTTTAGGCTATACATACTTAGCTTTCTAAACACAAGAACTGAAGGACTTCTCTCAATTATGCACAATGGTTTGGTGTCTCTAAAAAAGCTGTATAAAAAATGAACTCATGTTCATGCATGAATTAAACTAACTTCATGAGCTCTGCAGAGACACATGAACCTGTGCTATTCCCCTGGAAGCACATGAGCCAGGGCTCAGCCTAACACAAGCACCACCAACAGCCCTGATGGCACAGGGTCAGAAGACCGCAAGGCAGGAGGGGCTGAGGAAGTGAGGTGGTGGGGCCCAGAGAGGCCCTGGGCCGTGACCCACATGTCTCCTGGAACAGTCTCAGATGCTACTTGGTGACTCCTGTGCTCTGGGCTGCCCAACCCTCTTACAGAGTCTGGAAAAGGTTTACCCACAAACACTGTGACATTTGGATTGCAAACAATTTCAAACGTTCAGTATTGGGTCGGGGCAACAACTACAAAAGTGCAGGGTCTATATTTTTAAACTATAGTATATACAGTAATAAAACCCATAGTGGACGGGCAGCTGACATCATTTTTGGTTAGTTTATAACTGAAAACAGTCATCTAGGCGTGGGAAAGAGGCCATATGGGACATGAGAGTGTGAAGAAGCGAAGCAGAGAACAGGCCTGTCACTGGGTGGGGTGTGCCAGGCTGGACTGGCCCCTGAAGTCTGGATGGAGCAAAGGGTAAGTGCACCATGAAAGATCCCACAAAACAAGACTCCACGTCATCAGAACAAAGACAAACACTAGCTCTTTTCTGACTTCCAAACATGGAACTGTAACATGTAATCCAAGTTGGTTAAAATACTGCTAAAACAGCACATACAGAAACAATATCTTACTCATCACTCCCTACAAGAACATGTGCCATTTACAACTTTGTTTTTAAAACCAGGAAAATCTGTTAAAACATCTATCCAACAGTGATAGATATTTTCAAAAGTATATACACCTAATAGTCCAGAGAATGCTTGCTCTGGACCCAGTGTCAGCACCATCAAAGTGCAGTGTCTGTGACTGCAAATCAGACAAAAATTAAAAATACAGTACTTTCTGAGGCCTAGGACTACCTTGTGATACACTTTAAAGCATTTGTGGCAGACAGGCGTGTCCTCAAGGGCCTTCCTCTTAGACAGGCACAAAGTCGCCACTGGTTACACATAAGTGCATTTTGCATCACTGTACAGGTATATAATATTCCCATCAAAGGGTATAGGAAATGTAATTAAATGCTTCACAAAGTTTTAAAAAAACTGCTAAAAAAATTTTTCTGCACTTCCATGTTTAATTTTTAAATGTGCCACTTCTAACATCATCAATTACAAACTACTTTCTGACTGCATTGCTCAACCCTGGCAAGAACCTGACGTCAGGGATGGCATCCTCTGAAGTGTGCATTTCACTCAGAAACGCAGCAGCACAAGCGCTACACACACTAGTTCTCCACTTCTTATCATGGGAATTTGCAAAGAGCCACCGGGCAGCCTGAAGCTTCAAACTCAACTGCATTAACCACCAACCAAAAGAGATTTTAGTTATGGTCCTACACCTGGCGTTGGCCTTATCTCAAGAGGTCGAGTCAGAGCAAAGTGCTGGGAAGATTGCTGCTCTGCCAGCGCAGGCAGGTCGTCTTCGAGTGTTTGTACAGGTGGCTGGACTGACTGAACCTCTTGCCGCACTTGAGGCAGGCGTAGGGTTTTTCACCTGTGTGAACACGGATGTGTTTCTTGCAATCCGTCAAGGTCAGGAAAGTCTTGCAGCAGATTTTGCAGGCGTACTTGCGAGCTCCCTCCACAACCAAGACGTTGTGCTCTGACAAGGCCTTCTTGCACTTTGACAGGACGTCAGCAGATGCCCTGGTCAACTGCGGAGGGCCGGGCTGGGAAGGATGGCCATTTTCAAATGAAGACGTGGCCCCATTCATCATTAGCTGGGAGCTGGCAGGGTTTTCTGGGATCTGTGAGCTCCTGACGGAAGTTACAACGGGCATTTTGGGAGCTATGCGGCGGTAGTATGGAAAGTTACTGCCTCCTCCTCTTGGGGAGCCCATCATTACCCTGGAGAAGGAGGAGTGGAGGCCCAAACCAGACCTGGAAAAATCCATCCCAAACTGTTCTCCTCCTTGGTAGCCTGAAGTCTGCACACATGGCAGGCCCATCACTTCCTGCATCGGCCTAACAAAGTGGGAGTCTGCAGGCTCACTGAATGGGTTCTCCACGTGAGAGCCAGGGGCCGAGGAGGGCCCGCCTGCAGGCCCAGCCTCTGGACTCAACAAATAAGGGGCCTCCCCCTCCAGCCGGCAGTCACTAGTGGTATTTGGGATATTATCATCATTGTTCTGATTTGCATTAAAGTTACTTCCTCTGCTCTTGTTAAGAAAATTTGAAATGCTAAAAGTGGACTTATGTTCTACATTATTTGTGACTTCCAAAATATGGATGTCACCTACCCTGTCAGTGCTAGACTGGGGATCTGAAAAACTCCGATCACTGCTTTCAGGGCTGAGATCTATCTTCTCGGCACTGACCACAACTCCTTCCACTTCCACAGATTCGCTGCCTTCTGCTTGTGAGGTCACATCGCTCACTTCATCCTGAGGCTCAGGAGAGCTCAGGGGCTCAGATTTAACCACCACTCTCATGTGCTCCTTCTCACCGAGGCCAATCTCAGGATTTTCACACTGAAAACCACTTTTCTCAGTTGCGGCCTCCTGCTCAAAACTAGTCTCAACCTGAGTTGCGCGAGAGGCCATGGACAACTGTGCCATGTTGCTGGCACTGTTGTCAGACTGGCTGGGCACCTGGGCATCTTCTTGAGCACCAAAAGACTGGTCAAACATGATGGCACTGTCTTCCTGGTTGTCGGTCATTCCATCGGCCTTAGGGTTATCCACAATTTTCAGAGAATCTGGTGAAAAGAACTCCTCCCGAGAATGAACCCCTGATGGCCCGTTCTCTGGCGTAACATCAGCAATGGCAGACTCATCCATGGCAGGTCGGAGGCGCTGTCTGGCCCGCTCCTCTGCAGACTGCTTGCGCTTATGAAGGCGTCTCATGGGGAAGGGCGTCCGCTGGTCCAGGTTCCCGCGCATTGATGAGCTCATGGGGGCTGGCTGCTCCTCGCAACTCTGGCTGGAATTGAGGGCTGAGCTCACGATGCTTAGTCCCAGCTGCTGCAGCATAAAGGAGCGCTGCATGCGGGCACTCTGCTCCTGAACACGCTCACTGGGGGGAGACATGGGCAGCGTCCTTGTCGTTAAGTAATGTTTACATGCCTTAACAACAGAGTTCAAATGCAGGTGAGAGGCTGCCAATAAGACATCCATAACATTGCTCTCCCCCAGCATGAGGGTGGAGGTATACATCATGTCAATCAGTGCAGCAAAGGCCTCTGCTGTCACTACCTCACTATCCAGCTGGATCATGTTCATGGTCTGATCTCCCTCTGCCACTGAGAACAGGGCTCGGAAATGCGTGCTGCATGCTGCCAGTACGGAGCGATGGGCTTTAAAATGCCTATTCCCCACTACAATGACACAATCACAGAGCTGGCCATGAAGTCTCTGGTAGTTCAGTTGCTGGAAGATCTGCTCAAAGTGTCCAGGAAAATCCATGATCCTATGGGAAAAATAAGGAAAGAAAGTGTTAAGACTCAGAAAAGCTGAAGTCGAAGTTGGAGCACAGAGGATGTGATGAAAAGAGAGGCATGTTTGGCCAAGCTTGGACCTTTTGAAGCTTGTGATGTCTCTGATGATGAGCACACAGACTAAAAACCTGTCAAATAAGGAGGAGCAAATGCCAATTCAGCTAACAGCCCTGGAAGCATGCACACATGTGGGATCAGCTACTGGCTGTTTACAGCCTCCCCTTCGCTCTTCATATGACCCACTTTTAACACTTAGGGCCTGTGTTACAAAAGACCAACATGTGTGTGGGTGATGGATATCTACCCGACAGAAGTTGGTTAAAGTTCTGCATTCCCTGAGGACAATGAATCAACTCCAAGAAATTCCAAACAGAGTCTTCTAGCAACCTTAAATAAGTGAAAAGGGCAAATCAATATTAGTGGGGAAGATTTTCAGTTACAGATGGTAGTAGATTGCACACATGCATTTACCCTCCACTCATGCCTGAAACCCCATTAAAAAGACACTAAATTTTTTGGTTTTGCTCTTGTTTTAAAGGTATAAACCCACAAGGAAAAAAAGAATGGGAAAGAAATATCAACAGCATTTTGGGAGCTGGTGAGCAGGTGAATGAATGAGTGCTAACTGACTTAGCATACCCAGAAAGTTAAATCCTAAACTGGCAGTGGATAAAACTACCTGACATATATAAGCCCCTCCGACTCATCCAAAGGCTCAGGAACTGGCTGCCAAGGGGCCAGGGGAAGGTGATGCCAAGAGAGGACTGGCTGGAAAAAAATAATCTAATGGAAGCTCTGTGCCTGTGACACAGAAAAGGTAAATCTACAGAGACGGAAAGCAGATTAGTGGTTATCTGGGGCTGGGGGTGAGATCAGGGAAAGACTACAACTGGGAAGAGAGACTTTTTGGGGGGGTCACAAAATGTTTTAAAATTGGATTGTAGTGATGACTGTAAAACTCATAAATTTTCTAAAAATATTTGAATTTTACACTTAAAACAAGGACTTTTATGGTACATATATTATACCTCAATAAAGCTCAACAAATTATAATCAATAAAAAAAATAATGGGGAAAGAAAAACAGATGAACAAGCTCCAAAGCCATTTGTTCAGGGTCTATTTTGAACTGTAAGGCTTCTATAAAGCTAACTAAACTGCTTAGAATATCACATATATCTTTGATGAATTAAAGAATTATTATTTTCTTAGGTGTGATAATGGCATTCTGATTTTTTTAAAGAGTTTTTTTTTTTTTTTTTTTTGGTGAGGAAGATTAGCCCTGAGCTAACGTCTGTTGCCAATCGTCCTCTTTTTGCTGAGGAAGATTGGCCCTGGGCTAACATCTGTGCCCATGTTCCTCTGCTTTATGTGGGAAGCCTGCCTCAGCATGGCTCAATAAGTGGTGCATAGGTCCACACCCGGGATCCGAACCTGCAAACCCCAGGCCACCGAAGCAGTGCACGTGAATTTAACCGCTATGCCACCAGGCCAGCCCCTTTAAAGAGGATTTTTTAAAGAAATAACATTGAAATATTTACAGATGAAATGACATGTCTGACATTTGCTTCAAAAGTTTATTGTGTATATTTGAAAATTTGCATAAATGTTAAAATAAAAAAGGAAAAAAGAAGAACCCACATGGCCTACGGGTGGATCACTCTCCAATGCTGAGTTTGGAACCATTAAACATCTGTATATTTTCATCTCCTGGACTCATCAGAAACAAGATCTTGCTTATTCTCTTCTAAGCAACTACTACACTTCCTAGGAACTATGTGACTGCTGATTCAAAGTCTCTGTATCCTTGACTACTGCTCATAACAGTCTCTCATTATGTGGTTAGAAAACAGGTCAATAACCCCAAAGTGGCACTCTCCAGTGCCCTCTACCCACACACTACAGAAGGTGAAGGAGTTGCAGAGTATAAAACCCTGTTTTATCCTCTCCAGAGAATGAACCTCTGGTCTTCTGGGATGGGGTGAGGCAGAATCTAATGGCTAAGGCCCAGGATACAAACACAAGCAGACTGAATGGGACTAAAGATGAAACGATCTCCAATCCCCACCCTCAGCAGAAACAGACTAACCAACCGCTCCACTACAATACAGTCCTGTAAGTGCTATGGTAGGGAAGTTCAAGGCACTACAGGAGACAAAGAAGAGACACCTGCCTCTGATGGGTGGGGGAGGGATTGCGAGGGCCTCCTGGGGGAAGCCTGCAGTCCTCTACTGGGCTTGGGCAGCTTTGGGACACCAGGTGGGCACCTGAGGCTGGGATGAGCTGCTACACTGAAAACTGGAGCTTTAAGTCCAAGTGTGCACACAGGTGAGCCATCCTGTCCCCCTCCCCCAACTAGAAGACCAGCAGCCAGGCTCATATGTGTGGGGAGCCCCTCCAATAAAACACTCACTTGGGCGCCGGCCCGTGGCTTAGCAGTTAAGTGGGCGCGCTCCGATGCAGGCAGCCTGGGTTCGGATCCCGGGCGCGCACAGACGCACTGCTTCTCTGGCCATGCTGAGGCCGCGTCCCACATACAGCAACTACAAGAATGTGCAACTATGACATACAACTATCTACTGGGGCTTTGGGGGAAAAATAAATAAATAAATAAAATTATTAAAAAAAAAACAAAAAACACTCACTTGGGTCCCCACCTCATTTGCCTGTGGTGAAGCTCACTAGTCCTCAAGGCCCACCCATCCACTCAGCTTCCAATCAGTCAGTGCTTCAGTCTTCAACATGAGAGGTTAAAGAGCACCACAAACCGGAGGGAAAAAACCTCCAATAGGAAAGAAAGCCCTAAACAAACAAAAAAGGCATCTGCAATAAACAGAAACAGTGCAGAGAAAAAAGAAAACTAAGGGAAAAAACACCTATAAGTAACATCCTCCAAGAGATAAGATACCATATCCATGAAGCAAGAAGACTCTCTCTATATATACATAAAAGGAATATTCAGAGAAATTTTAAAACTATTGGAAATTTAAAACAGCAAAAAAATTTTTAATTACTAGAAGAGTTGGAAGATAATGGTTGAGGAAATTTCACAGACAAGGCAAAGGAGAAATAAAAGTGAATGAATAAGAAAAAAAACATTAATAAATAAGGTCCAATATCCGACTACAGAAAAGACAGAAAATGAGAAAAATGATAAAAAAAAAAACAATATAAGAAAAATTCCCAGCACTGAAGAAGCTGTTTATTCAGACTAAAAAGGTCCACCAAGTGCTCAGCAATATGAATGAACAACCCCTCCACTAGGCTCAGTGGGTGACATTTTAGAACACCTGAGATCAAGATCTTGAAAGTTTTGGGTGGGGGAGGGGGTGACAGGTTACAAAGAATCAAGAATAAAACTGGCATTAGACTTTTCAAAAGCAATACTGAAAGCTAAGAAGTGATACAGTTCCTTCAAAATTCTCCAAGAAAATTATTTCCAACTTAGACCATACCCAGCCAAACTTGCCATCAATTATGAGAGTAGACCAAGGCATTTTCAGTCAAGCAAGAACCCAAAAGTCTACCTCTTACATATCCTTTCTCAGGAAGCTACTAGAGTTGCTTAAGGAAGCTGGGAATACACCAAGAAAAGAAAGACAAAGAATGTAGGAAATCGGAGACTCACCATAAAAACTACGCAAAGAGAATTTTAAACATGACGATGAAGCCCCAGATGACAGCTAGGCAGCAGGGCTGGAGAGCAACCAGTTCAGACTGGAACAGTAAGAGAGAGGACTCCAAGAAGGAGTTCCCCAAGAAAAAAAAAAAGAAAAGAATGGGCAGATCACACGATATGGTTGAGAGTGCTAAGAATTGAACAGTTCCACGAAAGTGTGAAGATAGGTCATTAAAAAAAAAAGAAAAATTTTTAAAGGTGCAATTATTAACTCTGGGAAAAATAAGAGGTTGTTTAGTTGCAGCACACTATGTGGTTTGTTTGTGGACAGTATTTACATAGTCATAATAATGTGAACACTGAACCAAATCTGAGATGTTGGAAGGGTGAGGGTAGGCCAATTTGCGTGGGAGGAGAGGCAGAGGAGAAGTGGTGTAAGAGAGTTAAATTCTCACCTTCCCTATTAGTCAAGAAATAGTCTGAAACACTATCTCAAGAAATAGTAATATAAGCATGTTATTTAAAAATACAGAAGTCAACAGTGGAAGAAACACCTGAACTGAAAGTGGTTGCCTCTGAGGAGTGGGAATTTGGAGGGGAAAGAGGACTGCTGGTTTTTACCTCTAAGCCTTATGGAACGATATGGCTTTTAAAATATAAATATACACACATATTAACTTTTATAAAATGAAATTTTAAAAAACATGGTAGATCCTTGACATTCTAATGGTATATCCTCTTGAGATGTGCAAATCTCCACATTCACAAATACCACATGGCACGTCACAGGAACTGCGGCAAGCAGAAGGCAACCTGGGTGTCAAGCTGCGCGGCAGGCTCAACCACCTGCTCTGGGGCCCCGGCCGTACATAACAGGCCAAAGTTACGGCTCAGCGAAATGACAAGTGACCACAGAACACCTTCAGGATCCCTGAGAAATAACAAAAATGGCAAACTTTAAGTCCACAAAAACCACAAGTTACGGTGCCAACTGAGAGTATTAAGCCACAGGCCTTTGCTGTACCTGCACAGTAAACAATCAGAACGGTAAAATGCCTCAAAGCACTGGCCACGTGTTGGCCCTATTCTTTTACCTCCTATGTTTGTTCTACCTTTGATGAGCTCCAATAACAAAATATATCACTAAATACATACTTTCCCACTGCTACATTCTTGCTTTATGAAGATTCCCTGCTAGGAGCAACGGGTCAACAATGGCAGGCACCAGCACATACACCCCTGATCCCCACCCAACTCACTCAGGGCCCCCAGAGCTCAAGGCTTTGGGGAGGTTAAACAACATGCAAATACTGCTTACAAGTCTATAGCCCCTGCTTTAGAAAGTAAACTCAGA